GGAGTTGGTCGATTTGAATGCTTGTGTAGGCAAAGCTAGAGTTCATTTTTTTTTTGATGAGTATGGCTAAGGCTTTTAAAGTAGAACAACCTCTGTGCATCTTAGAACTTATAACTTGGGCATTGAATCAGTTTTTCCATTGACATCTTTAGTTTTGAACTCCTGTTTTCAAACCTCTCTTCTATTCTTGAATTCTGTTTGCTTGAGGGCAAGCAAAAGGCAAGTTTGGGGGAGTTGATATTACCATATATTTTGCATATTTTGCATGCATTTAGGATAGTTTTTCATGCATTCATCTTGCAGTTTAGGCTAGTTTCGACCACTTGTTGCATTTTAGGTCCTAGATCACTTTGCATTCGCATTTTGCATATTTTCTGCACTTTTGCATTATTACCAGGTTGTTTGAGACCCACTGGAGTTGTGGAGGTTTCTTGGACGTGCAACGGATCAAGAGGCAGCTTGTGGACACTTGGAGAACTCAGCCGTTCAGCAAAGGACCCGAGATCGAGAGCAAGATCGAGTTAGGCAGGTCGATCTAGATGAGATCGACCAGAAGATCGACTAAGCCTGGATCGTTTCAAGGAAGAGATCGAGGATGAGATCGAGTGAGGAAATCGATCGTGAGTACGGACGTGGATTACGCCATGCAGAACGAGAGCCTGATCGAGGCCACGACCCGATCCATCCAGAAGATCGGCTCAAGGATCGAGCAAAAGCAGACGATCCAGCCGAAGAATCGAGTGATCAGATCGACTGACTGGCTCGATCTCTACACCCTTATCCGGCCAACTCGATTTTGGACTCTTGTGAGGGGGGGGGGGGGGGGGGGGGGGGGGGGGGGGGGGGGGGGGGGGGGGGGGGGGGCCACTTCCTTGTTTGGCCTATTTTAGGCAAACGAATGTAAACCATTCATTTTTGTCTTGGAACTTTTAAGCTTTCTTAGTGTCTAAGGCGATTTTTCTCCATTGTTAACGATTTCAAGCTTTTCATACTTTGTGGACCTTTAATCTTGCTTAATCATTAGTATTTTTCTTAATCGGTTTTCTCTAATGATGCTTAGCTCTCTTTTCTTTGCTTTTCAATCGGTTTCAAACATGAGTAGTGAGTAGTTTCTTTTGGATTTGGGGTTGGGGCGATTCAAGGGTTAAAGGTTTAAGCTTTTGGGAGTTTTTCTTGTTTTTCATTCTTTCTCTTCTAGGATTTGGGGTCTTAAGGCTTAGAGAGTCTTGGAAAAGATCTCTATGATTCCAAGGCTGTCTTACCTTGACCGGATTCAGATATCCTAGAAAACCAGATCCTAGAGACTAATCTATCCTCTCCCAAACGCCATGGTTGTAGAGGGGGTTAGTTAAGCCACGATTTGAGATCTTTATTTAATGTTCTTTGACCCATCTTTCCACTACACGCCATAGGTTAGGAGGAAGGGTCAGAGAAAGGGGTCATACCACACGCCATGGATGATCCTAGTTTTATGTTTCTCAAGGCTTAGAGATAGCTTTTTTAAGAGTAGATTTACGTTTTCAAACCCAAAGCTTGAATCTTGAACCTCTTGAATATGACCCTCAACCTTAGATCCTCTATGGTTATCATTTTAAAACCTGTGTTTATCATTCTCCTGTCATAAAGTTGCATCTTTGGTTCACTTGAAGTTGTTCATCTAGGTTGCTAGAACATGTTTTACCCGATTCAGTGCTCAATTTTTAGTTATTAGTAGATTTGCATTTTAAGGTCTCTGTTTTCTTCTAGTAGTTGTTAACCCTCTTCCAGGGATTTTAAAATTGTTTTTCATTTTATTTGGTCGTTGCATTTAGTTTTCATCGATTTTACCACCCATTTATCTGATTTGCTTAGCTTTGCTTAGTTCTTGCATTCCTTATGTTCTTTCTACATCCCAGGCTGGATTGATCCCTTTACTGTTATACCACTTTGTTTAAGTGGTTCAGGTTTTGATATCTTGACTTGCAAAAATCCCTTTTATCAGTACCACTTTTTCACCTTGGTTTTACAAGTTCTCATGCATCTTTTTGACCAACTTTAGGCTTAATAACACTGGGGACAATGTTGTTTAAGTCTGGGGGAGGTAGTTACTGACGTTGTGTGCTTTGTTGCATGTTTATAGAGTCTTAAAATTGAGTCAAAAATCTGTTTTTATAGAATCAAAATTTTGAAATTGTCAGTTCTTCTTGGAACTCCATAGGACGTTTATGCTTATAAGAACCATTGCCACAGTAGCTGATTACAAGTCTTACTAAGTTGAAAGTCATAGGTAGATCAATCTAGCAATGAAGGTTTAGGTTCTTAGAGAATCTAGAAAATTTGCTGTTAGCTCCACCTTAATGAACTTTAAACTTCTTGTCTTGGAGATTGATTCTTATTGATCTTGATTCTCTCTTTCAGCACTGACAATAAGGTTAAGATACAGTTTCTCTTTGATCTTCTCTGATGTAGTTTTTAAGAGTTTAAGCCCAAAGAATGGTGCATTCATGACCCTGTCTCCTCACAAAGAACAGCAGTAATGAACACACTCAAGAACCTGTCTCCTCACAAAGAACACAAGTATTGAGTAGCATCATATCTTAGACTCAAAAAAAATGAGAAAACAGTTGAAAAAAAAATCGAAAAAATGAAAGGAAAAGATCAAGGGAAGAGAAAATAGGAGAGCTGTGTTGAGATTGATTTGTTCAGTTGTTTAGAAAGGGAAAAGAATATGTAAGTGATTGAGATGATAAAACCTTGATGAGACTTCACACTTAGATAGAAAATCAAGGAGCTAGCGGTAGAGATTTCAGATTTCTTGAAGGGATTTGGACTGGATTTGAGAGATTTGCTAAGCTTGTGATGATTAGACTGAAATTTGATCTTGTGTTGACTATGTGGTATGTGGATTTGAAAGTGTTAACTAATGTGGTGTTCTTGATGTTTGACTGACTGTTTCTTGTTTTCAAACCTCGACCATGTTCTCTGTCTAATGTTTGCTTGAGGGCAAGCAAAAGCTAAGTTTAGGGGAGTTGATATATCATGGTTTTATGGTTTTTCACCATGATATAAGTTCTTTTTATTGAGTCTTTTGGTCTTTTTAGAGTCCTAGTAGAGTCTTTGCAGGTTATAGCATGTATGGAGCATAATTGGAGGTTTTGGAGCTTTTTGGATCATTACAACCACGAAGTGTACAACTCAGAAGGCGAAATCAGAGATGGGTGACGCTCATCACCCAGAAAGGAAGGGGTCGTGGCTGGTTTATTAAAAGTATGAAGACTATTTGCAGAATTGGCCCAGAAATTTCTTTATTTGCAATAAGGCCCCATATCGTGTTTAGCCTCTATATATTAGGTTTTTCAGCCATTGTTGGCTTTTATCTTAGTTTTTGAGAATTCAGAGAGCTTCGGAGAGGATTATATTGAGAGATTTTGGGGAAACAGATCCTGAACTCTTTTTGGAGAAGATTTCGAACCCCCTTTGTTTTATTTCTATTCTCTTAATGCAATTTTATTCAGTTATGTTTTGTGATTCCATGATCATGTCTGAGTAATCTGCTAGTTAAGTTAGAGCTTTTTCAAAGGTTGATGAAGAGTTTGTAGAATTGCTACATGTTAGGAATATCTTTTGGTTTTTCATCTCTGCTTGCTTTAAAACCGAATTTCCTAGACACATCATCTAGAAATCCGAAAATCATAGGTTGTTAAATATATGTGAGATCATTATTGATAACATGAACTAGTATTTGATGAGCAAAACAACTTAGTGCAGAGAGATTTGGTTTAGGAGTGTTGTGAACAATTGAATTTGATCATATTGCATGTTTAGATTGTTAGGATTTGCAAAGAGATTTGAAACTCTGTGATTTAGACATAGATAACTTCTGCAATGAGAATTGATTAGTTATATATTTTTGATTCATGTTCAAAACGGTTCTTAATAATTCCTGATTTCATGCATTCTACATTCTCGGATTCAACCTGCGAACTGTCTTGACTTAGCGTTTTTAGTCTTCTGAAACTTAGATCAACAACCAAATTTCGTTTGCTTACATTTAATTTGTCATTCACATTACATACATCTCTTACTGCTTAGCTTAATCCGAACTTACATTCGATAGTGTAATTTACATACTCCTTTAGAATTCGATACCCCTTATATTACAATTGTTTTGCTATACATTTACAGTAGTTTTATTTAGGTAAAACCTGAGCCCTATCACTTTTACACGCCGATATTCTTTTTCGACAACATTCAGTGCGAAAACATTAATCTTAAGTGTTATATAACCCCTACAATATTAAAACTGAAAAAGGAAAACTTCAATTAAAAATAGAGATATCCGCCTCCAAATTCCAAAGTGTTTTTTTCGTGTGTAATTTTTGTCTATGTCTCAGATTCCATCGTGAAGCAAAAAGCTTTTCAATCTTCCTCGTCTCCTCTGGCATCGTAAGTTTCTTCCAAAGCTTTCTCTTCTTGAATTCCCTTGTGTTCGACTTAAAAAGATCATCTGTGGTTCTTGGGTTTTCATCCTTCATAGATTCGAACTCTTCTATAGTTTAATTGCAAAGGAAAAAAATTCGATCTTTCGACCCTAAATCCTAATCGAGTGGTTTTAATGTGTAGAATAGGTTAGTTACCATTGAAGCTGTAATTGACTGGATATGGATTCTCATAGAGATTGGATCAGCAGTTTGCCAGATGAGATTCTGGGCAAGATCCTGTCTTTACTTCCGACAAAAGTGGCTGCTTCCACATCGGTTCTGTCCAAGAGGTGGAGGAATCTGCTAGTTCTTATAGACACCCTTCGCTTTGATGACTCAATGGTTTCGTATCCCAACAAAGTAGAAGCAACAAGTGGTTCACACCGCTTCTTAGATTTCGTAGACAAGACATTGGCTCTGCTAAGCAACTCTCCAGTCATGAACAGGTTCTGTCTGCGTCTTGAACATAGATATCGCCGTGACGCAGGACACGAGTTCTCTCGTGTTAACCGTTGTGTCAACCGTTGGGTTTCGACTGCGATGGGGCGCGGTTTATTGGAGCTACACTTGCACGCCGCTCCCATCGCTGGTGTTGGGTTAGTAACAGAGTTGTTAACGAGTAACACACTGGTTAAGCTCACGATATCTGGTAGTTGTGATCTCAAGGTCGGGCGTGTGTTTCTCCCAGCGCTCAAATCACTTTCTCTATTGTCAGTTAATATGATTGATCATCCCAACTATAGTCGGCTCGTCGATGGCTGCCCTGTGCTGGAAGATTTATTCATACGTGATGGTGAACAACCAGGTAGCGGTTCATTCGTGGAAAGTGCATCCATCAAGCGACTTGTGGTTTTTACCAAATGCCGTCCCGTCTATAGAGACGTGGCTCACGATCTGATTTGTTTTGAAGCACCAAGCCTTGTCTACCTTGATTATTCTAGTTATGTCTCCGAGAGTTATGAGTTTATTGATTTGAATTTGCTTGTCGAAGTCAGGCTGAGTCTCAAGTTATGGGAGTCAACTAACGATATTGATTATTCTGATGATGACGATGACGATGATGACGATGATGATGAGGATGATGACTATGATTATGATGATGATGATGATGATGATGATGATGATTTAAAATCTTTTTATGGTAAACAAAAGCCGGTTATATTTGGTGATGTTACAAAGCTAGTTGAGGGTATATGCAACATTACGATCCTTCACTTGTCTCCCAATTCCCTCGAGGTCAGTTTTTTTTCCGCTACTTGTTCTTCTTCTTCTTCTTCTTGTAATTTAGCTAGCTATACCAAGGTCTCTTCTCTCACTTGTTTTGGTTGTGGTCATACATATATATCTAGACGTTTCATTTCTGCTGTAAATCCATGCCGGTGTTCAACAACCTCCTTAGTTTATCTATCGAGAGCCACGAGGAAAAAGGTTGGCAAGTAATGCCACTTCTGCTCAAGAGTTGTCCAAATCTACACACTTTAGCCATCAAGGTATTAGTATCAGTTTCCCCTTTTTCTGAGATTCTCTTCTGTTGTTTGTGGTGCCCATTATTATACATGTCAAACTTTGGTCTTGTGGTTTCAGGGTCTTATGCACAGAGTAACAAACAGATGCGGAGATGCATGCACTTGCAGCCCTGAGAAGAAGAAGCATGAGAATAAGAAGAGGAAGATTGTGAAAGAGGAGGAGATGTTATCTTGTTTATGGACATGTCAAGTGAAGGTGCTTGAGATTTCAGAGTATGGAGGTTCTTTTCAAGAGCTGAAACAAATGAGACATTTCTTGGGCAAGTTGGAATGTCTTGAAACTGTGAAAGTTGGTTTTGTCGCGGATAACAACAGCAATAATAGTGAGTTCTTGCGAGCTAATCTGCTCGCTCTTCCCCGTGTTTCATCAATGTGCAACCTCCAGTTCATCTGATTTTTGTCTATCTTTCTCGATTTTGATGTGGGATTGTGAAAGTAACTTAACATTTAAATAAATGGCTGTATCATCAAAATAATTATTTAAAAGTTGTTCACAATCTGTTTATTGAGATACAAAATATGTATGCGTTGCTCTTCCTGGTAGTAGACTAGTTCTTGCAAGGATCCTCTTAGTTTTTTTATTTTATAAAGTTCAATGAGATGGATCTGCTGAGAATATAGTGTAAGAGGTACAGTAAATTGCCTTGATCACGGCTTCATCACCACCACCTAACAATTGTTTGGTTCAGAGGGTTTAGGGGACTCTGAAGGACGAGCGAGAACAAAGCAGCAAAGTAAATCAAGGAAACAAACTACAAACTGGGTTTGCAAACCCTGGACTGTCCTATGATATTCTAGAGGAGGTTGTCCCAGGAAACATTAGTGAGCCATTTTGTGCATGTGGTTACTTCAATACTGAGAACGTGGAGTTTCAGTATACATTCATTAAGCAAGTAAGCTTTCATATTATTTTCCGGTTTTTCAGGATATAATTTGCACGATTGGATTATGAGCGTGATACATTTCAGATAAAGGAAGACGATTAATTAATTTTTGGTGCCTGGGTGATGTAGGATCGAAGGGGGACTGTTAGTGATAGATTTAGCACCCCTTGCTAAAAGCCCTTCATAAATTAAGAAAATGTTCATTTGAAGCCCTACCTTCGCTTCTGGAGTTAGGTCGGTGCTGAAATATGGAAATATTCGAGGATATATTCAAGTCGCAGAGGAAAAGGAAATCAAGCCCCGAGAAGAAAGGAAATTATCCTTATCCCGAAGGAGAAGGATTCGACTCGAGGCGGTCTATGACGACTATATAAGAAGAGCCCCCTCCCTCGAAGATCATTCATTCACAACTTCGGACTCGAGACCTAAGGCAAATAATAGCTTACTGCTTTCGGCTTTAGATCTTGATTCTTACCCTCAAAACTTTAGGTCGGCGTTCTTTTCCGACGACCTAAAACCTCTGTACTCTTCGAGCTCCGGCTAACTTAATAAAACTATATCTTTTCCCCCACAAATCTTTATATTTTCTTTAGAGGAGATGTTCAGATCTTACAAACTGGGTTAGCAAACCCTTGACTGCCCTATGATATTCTAGAGGAGGTTGTCCCAGGAAACATTAGTGAGCCATTTTGTGCATGTGGTTACTTCAATACTGAGAACGTGGAGTACCTTTTCAGTATACATTCATTAAGCAAGTAAGCTTTCATATTATTTTCTGGTTTCCTGCTTCGATACTTTCATTAGTTGGAGATGCTAAAAATGGAAAAAGGAAACACAATTTCAGGATATAACTTGAACGATTGGATTATCTGCGTGATACATTTCAGATAAAGGAAAACGATTAATTAATTTTTGGTGCCTTGGTGATGTAGGATCGGAGGGGGACCCGATCGTACAAAGAAAGGTGAATCTCCAACTGGTCGTACAGCTCTCTTTGAAGGCTCGATAGAAATGAGAACGAAGATATATGGATCCTACTTCCGAGATAAGTCTAGACACTTCAATTCACAAGGCTTCGCACACAAGTGAGATAGAGATCAAAAGAATTTTCTTGCTTTAGCTAAGAAAGATTTGATTTGCTGAATAGTACTTGTTATTGATAATGAAATGAAAAGGAATCAATCAAGTTTTTTAAAACGGTGTGTATAGCTCGGAGGGAGATTCAAAGGTGGATTAGGGTTTTCGGGCTTTCGTCACTTCCAAGGCAGTCCGCCATTGCCGGCCTCTCTTCTCTCCGGGGAGATGTCCACGGCGGAGGATATGGGGGAATCAGCGGGTTCTCCTCCGGGTGTGGTGAAATCAGTGAAGTCATGGGCAAATGTTGTTCAGTCAAAGAAAGTTTTAACAAAGTATGATCTGGATGTTTCGATACAAGATGGAGTGGGCTCGATAACGGTCCCAGAAGAAATTTTTAAGGACTTCGTGCCGCTGTGGGAGGACTTTTTGAGGTGAATTCAACAACAACGAAATTCAGAATCGCTAATCAGAATACAAGGAATAGGATTCTACGTCGGGGTATGTGGAATCTGGCAGAAGTTCCGGTAATGATGTCAAAGTGGTCACCTTTTACAGAGGATACTTCACCGGAAGTAAAAGCGGTACCGTTATGGGTTCATCTCAAGGGTGTCCCGATGAATATGTATTCATGGAAGGGGCTAAGTTTCGTAACTAGTGCTGTGGAAGAACCAGTCAGACTGCATCCTGATACAGCGCAATGTTTGGATTTTAAAATTGCAAGGGTTTTTGTCAAGGCTGATCTCTCTAAGGAGTTGCCTACAACCATGCGTTTCAACTACCAAGAGAGGTGCATTTCACATATCCTTGGTTGCCGCCTAGATGTACAACCTGTAGCAAGTGGGGACATTTAGCTTCTGTTTGCCTGGTGAATGTTGTGGAGAAAGAGCGGTCTGCAGACCAGAATCCTCCACAATCAGAACCAATCATACCACATGAGATAGTGGAGAATGTTGAGATAGCGACAGAGAATCAGACAGAGGCACAATCAAACAACTTGGAGGAGAAAGAGGAGGGTGAATGGTCAACACCATCAAAGGCAAGCAGAAGCCCGAATAAGAAATAAAATAAGCTGACTTATGGTCAGGTTTCAATTTTATCCCCCTTTCGATTTGCTGTACTGGATACAGAGAAAACAGAGAAGATATAGGAAACCCAAGAAACAGAGGAGGTTCAGGAAACAGGATTTGCTGTACTATCTGACGCAAGTCAAGAGGAGGTTGTTAGCGAATCTGCGGAGGAGAAAGAAAAGGAGATGAATGTGGAGGATACAGTGCCCTAAAGAGAACCATAGTGTTCTGAAAAATTCCTCTAATAAAACAAACTAATGTCGGATTTTTCTTGGAATGTCAGGGGATTTAACCAATCAACAAAGCATTCTATAGCGAAGGACTGGATAAGAAAGAATTCCTTTCAATTTGGCTGTTTTTTAGACTAGAGTGAAAGAAAGAAAAGCTGCGAGTATAATGTCGTCAGTATGTCCGAACTGGTCATACATTTCAAATTATGATTTCAATCGGAAAGGAAGAATCTGGGTAGTTTGGAGCCCACAAGTGAGGGCCACTCCCTGCTTTACAAGTGCTCAGTTGATTACTTGTTCAATCTTAATGGATGGTTCAGAAGAAGAATTCTTTTGTTCCTTTGTTTATGCTTCAAATTTTATCGAGGAAAAGAAGGAGTTATGGGTTGATTTGAAGAATCACCAAGACTCTCCTCTACTTCGAAACAAGCCATGGATAATCTTAGGGGATTTTAATGAAGTTTTAGATATTGAGGAGCACTCGGTTTTGAGAACTCGCCTGCTGCTCCCCCAGGAATGCGAGATTTTCAGGACCTAGTTTGTTACTGCTCCCTCACAGATATGCACTTTCACGGCCCACAATACACATGGTGTAACAAGCGTGAGGAAGGGTTGATTTGCTAGAAGATGGATAGAGTTTTAATAAATACAGCATGAGATGCAGTACATCAGCAGGCGTACAGTGTTTTCGAGCCAGGAGGTTGTTCTGATCATCTGCGCTATAGAATTATGGTTGATACAGAGAGAATTAGGAGGCGGAACCCGTTCAAATTCACGAATGCACTGACCACAACACCAGATGTTTTATCCGTTGGTAGAGTCTTATTGAGAAGAGACAGAGACTCTATCTAACTCGACCTCCACTCTGCATCGACTATCAAAGAAATTGAAAGCACTAAAGCCAAGGCTTCGATGGCTTAGCAAGAACTAACTGGGAGACTTATCAAAAAGGACAAAACACGCTTTTGACGTCCTTTGTGAATGTCAGGAGAGAACCCTACATAACTCCTCTCAGTTACTAATGGAAGAAGAGGCTAGAGAATACAACAAATGGCATCTTCTGGCAGATCTTGAAGAGAGGTACCTCAAACAGAAATCCAAATTACATTGGTTGCTTGTGGGAGACGGAAATAACAGATAATTTTACCAAGCTGCGAAAGCTAGGGAGGCAAGAAATTCCATCAGAGAAATAGAGAGGGAGGATGGTACGATAGCTAATACCCAAGCGGACATAAAAAAAAGAAGACCGAGAACTATTTTTGGGAGTTCATGTCTTGGAGAATAGAGAACTATCAAGGAATTTTAGAGGAAAATCTACGAGAGTTGCTGCAATTTGAATGTACTGTGGGTGATTAGGACTTGCTTAGCCGTACTGTTACTGAGAAGGAAGTACACGATATGGTATTTGCCATGCCGAACAACAAGTCTCCTGGCCCTGACGACTTTACAGTCAAATTCTTTAAAGAGGCATGGATGGTTATGAGACACGAATTTGTGATTGCTATTCAATCTTTCTTTGATCAGGGATTCCTCCCAAAGGGGATCAACTCCACAATTCCAGCTCTCATTCTGAAGAAGACGGAAGCTAAAGGAATAAAGGATTATCGACCTATATCATGTTGCAATGTCCTGTATAAGGTCATCTCGAAAATACTTGCTAACCGTCTGAAGAAAGTGCTCCCGAAATTTATCGCCCCAGACCAATCAGCGTTTGTTAAGGATCGTCTTCTTATGGAGAATGTGTTACTAGCTTCTGAGCTGGTAAAGAATTACCATAAAGCCTCTGTTTCTCTCCGCTGCGCAGTCAAAATAGATATCTCAAAGGCTTTCAACTCAGTTCAATGACCTTTCCTTCT